AAGTACGATCTTGTGATGTTAGAAAAATATATATAGGCCATGATAATTAAGGCGAGAAGGTGATTAAAGAATCAATAACTCTAAATTTATAATGTTTGAATAAGAATATATGGCCGGCACAACATGAAATGCATACCAAAAAAATTGACAAGAACAATCAAAAATAGCCCTATAAGGCGGGCTATAAATGCATAGAAGCAAAATTGATCTTGTTTGGAGAGTGAAAGTGGAAAGGAAAATGGACGAAATAGAAACAAATAAAAACATGATATACACCATGTAGTTTTTGATGAACAACAATGCCAATATATTCTTCATAATTGAACATTATACGTAAGAGATTTGAAAAAGAAGAATCCAAGATATAGAAAGAGAAAAAGAAGAAACAAAAAAATAACAACTTAGAATTTTTTAAAAGAACAAAAATAATTATTTTTTGCTTTCTCTTCAAAAGGCAAGAAAGATGATAAAACAAGAAGTATAAAAAGCAAGAACAGGATGAAAATAGAATGAAAGCATAACATAAAAAAAGAACATGAACATAAGAGGAAAATTGGCACCAACAACAAACAACATATAAGCGACAAAATAAGAGAAATATTCAAAATCGGATAAAGCAAAGCCAAATAAAAAACATTAAGAAAGAAGGGGAAGAAAAACTAAAATTAATGATAGTAGGAACAATGAATGTCTAAAAGAAAACCAAAATACAACCAAGAATCAGAGAAAACAAAGCTACCATGGCCGAGGATGAAGACCAAAGTAGAGGCCACAACAACCATCAAGACTCGTACATGAAAAGAAAGAAGAAAGCAAGAACAAATAAGAGACAACACAAATAGTTAGTATAGGTACAAAAAAATGGGAACAATAAATTTCTAAAAAAATTAAAACATAACTAAGAATGAGAAAAAATAGACTTGCCATAGCAAAGAACGAAGAACAAAGTAGAGGCCACAACAACCATCAGCATGACACATGAAAAGAAAGAAGAAAAAGTAAGAACAAACAAAAAACAACATGCATAGTTAGTATAGACATAAAGAAAGAAAAGGAAAAAATAAAATAAAGAAAAAAAGAATAGAAAGAAAGATAAAGACAAATGATAATGGCCATCGATGATAACAAAAACATTCAATGTGTGAATAAAGCATCAAACAACAACTAAGAAGAGGGAAAACAAACCTAACATAGCAAAAAAAGAAGGCACAACGCAAGAGCACATCAAACATTTTCGAAATGCATTTAGAAGAAGAGGAAAGCACGAAAAAAGAAACATAAGACACATAATCAAGCATAGACAAAAAGAGAAAAACCCTACGATAAATAGTATATGAAAGTAAAAGACCATCAAACAGAGCACAACTAACCGGACAAACAAAGTTAAAAAAAAAAAAAAGAATAGGGAAAACCAAAACCCAAGCACAGAGAAGGCAATTCGAAGAAACAAAGAGCAAAACAAAGAAGAAAGGTAAAGAGAAAATGCTAAGGGTAGGAAAAAGATGAAACAAAAGCATAAAAGTAAAGAGAATAATGATATTGAGAAAAGTAAGATAAGCAACAACAATGGGACCTAAGAGGAGGCAAAACCCAAATAATTAGAGCAAATAAAAAAGAGAGGTGGATCAATAAGCTAGTGTTTCACAATAAAAGCCGACATCGAAGCAAGCACAAAAAGTAATAATAAGATAAAATATTAAAGAAATAAAAGGGTACCAAAACTAGATAAGGAATGAAATTGAGACTAACCTAATTGCAAGTAAATGAAATAAGCAATGACAAAGCTGCAGCAATGAATTGGGTAGCCAACCAATCCCTAACCTATAAAACCCAAGAAAACTAGAACAAACAAAAACCAACAAAATGGGACGAAGAGAAGTAAATCGAAGGACCTCCAACTGGCGTTAGAAGATCAAATTGATTAGGTAGGGTCCGAGTTTTTTGAAGACACTCATTAGAAGTGCGATAGAAGCATAATGGGGACAAAGAATCAAGGAAGAAATGAAAATAAAGAAGCATGACTGAAAAAAATTAAATGCTCCTATGAAACCATAAACAAAAGATGAAAAGGGGCATTGTATAAGTGAAAGGAAATTCAAAGGTGAGGTCACAAACGTAACCTCACAACAACATCCAATGGCAAGAAAGAAATTAAGTCGAGAATGAAAGGAATTTGTTTGAGCAAGAAAATAAAAGGTAGCAAGATATATAAACAAAGATGAGATAATCCAAAAGTTGCAAGATCAAACAATATGGAGAGGAACACATAAACACAATAGAGGATGGATGACCATAAGGGGATGAAAATGGAAGAAAAATGAAAAACGATCCGCATGTACAGGCAATCGTGTGGGGTGAATAGAGCTATGAACAACTTCACCTCACCTCTTTTAGTTTTTACTAGTTTCTTACCCATACTATGTTGCGAGTCGAGCAAGCATATATGAAATAATTTGAAAAAATTATTCTAGTTTAATGATCCGTATTCTACCATGTGTCCGCAAATATATATTAATTAAAGGTAAAAAAAATCATCCATTTTTATAATTTTTTAATCAAAATTTTATATGTCACTAATTTTCTCGGATTTTTTATATTTTTTTACCAAAAAATAATTTATTCTTTTTTATCCATGAAGTCTTTATTAAAAATTTTTTAATAATTTTAAAAGAAAATTTAATATGAAATATACATTAAAAAAACATAACATTATTTTTATAAGACGAGTGTCATTAAAACAAAGTAACAATTGATATAAAAACTTACATAAAAATAAATAAATAAATAATTTTGATTCTTATTTAATACCGATGAGAAGATTAGATTTTAAAAGTCGAGCATATCCGATTTTGATATATTTATTCATAAAATTATCAACGATATTAGAATAAAAAATTATATATATTGGAATAATTTGTTGGTTTTGCAAAACATAATTTTAATTATTTAATTTGAAAAAAAAATGTATCCATAATATCAATTAATAAATAAATAGTAAAGATTTGTGTTTTGTGTTGTTGCATAGTTAATTTCTAATAAATCCAAGAATTTAATATATATATTTTTACATGATAACTATACCGAGTGGATTTTATATTTTGCAACATAAAACAAAAAATATTAAAGGAAAAAAATTAACTTGTAAGTAGTTTATTGAATAGATTTAAAGTTAGTACAGAGTGGATTTTGTATTTTGCAACATAAAACAAAAAACATTAAAGAAAAAACAATTAACTTGTAAATAGTTTATTGAATAAATTTAAAGTTAATAGAACACAACAAAAATATTAAAAAATTCATTTCAATTATATAAATAAATAGCAAATAAACAAATGAAATTCTTTTTGTTTCTTCTTTTATAGGCTATACATGACCAGTCCTCATGCACAAGCCTCACATGTAGAGCTATGATTCGAAAATTTTAAGAATCTATCATATAAATGATATCATTTATATTTTAAAAAAATAAAAATAATCATGCTCTAAAATTTATTTCAAATCCATGCATAGATAAAAATAAAATAAAAAATTCATATTTGTCTGTAAATAAAATGTAATAAAAAATAAAAAATTATTTTGATGTGATTTTAACATAAAAATGACAAATTAAAAGAATAAGCTTTAAATAATAAAAGTAATATAATCTAAAATATATGTTTATCTTGAAAATAAAAACATATCATATATTTTTTTCATCTTTAGGTTGTTTGAGAAATATAAAAAATAGTGATCGATCATCCATAGTTTTTGCCTAATAATTCATAATAATAAATTAATAAAAAATAAGATTCATAATTATCAAAAGTGAAAAAAAAAAAAAAACATAGTACCAAACAAAATGTAAGGCTAACTGAGAGCACCAGCATTCAATGCATCAGTAAAAGGAAAATGCTAATGACAAAAAAGGGCACAAAAGCAAGAGAGTAGAAGAAAAAACAGATTAAGACACAACAGTAGATCACCAACCACCCGATGGCATTGAAGAAATTGATGGCAAAATAAATATTTTTCCTTTTCTTGTAATTGATTAATTTCATGAAATAGTTCAGTAATGGCAAAGGTTTTGGAATATATTTCGGAACAGTTGGCCAACATGAGATTGATACTACCCTTGCTTAAAAGAAAAAAACAAAAGGCAAAATGTTCAGTAATGTCTTTATTGATTAGCCTTAGCCGGTTCATTTTGTTACTTGGATTGCACTAACAAATGACCTAGTTATGGATGCCATTGCCCCCAAAAGTCCCCGTAGGCATTGACTAAATGCATAGTCTAATTTTATTTGCTACTTCTTTTTTTCTTTCTTTTTTTTTAGATATTTGCATGGCTTAGATCAACAGTTTCATTTTCCAAGATTGTGGTCAGCAAAAGTACTTTTAACTTGTTACTCAACATCCAATGAATAGCTAGTTTATCAGCAATAAAATAAAATAAATAAAAGCTTATATGCCATCTTCACGAAGGTGAATAGAAAAGTTTTGAGTGCAAATCCTGCACTAGCCAATAGCCAGAAGAGGAGGAGGAGAAAAAAAAACAGATATAACTGGTCAACAACAAGAACAATTGGTCCTTCTAATGTTCAGGAAGTTGAACTAACGCTAACAATAATAATTAAAGCTCAAAGTGTCTGTCTTGTTTTCCTACCTTCACCAGCCACATATGATAGATTACGTCTCTCCTGAATCTCCAATGTTCATGACCTATAAAAACCCCAAGATTAGCTCTGGTATGTCACAGAAAATCTCATAAAATTCTTAATTAGCTTGTATAGCTCATAGGCTTCTAAGCACTTACAGAAGCTTATAAACAATATGGCAGGATTCAACTGCTTTTTTATATCAGCTCTCTTCATCGCTTTGTCGGTTTCAGGAGGCGAAGCAGCTCGTCATCTCCTGCAATTTCCACCTCTACCTTCTATACCAAATCTGCCTAAACCAACATCGCCACCATTGCCTTCTATACCAACACTGCCACGGCCCACATTGCCAACCTTGCCAACCACTCAACCTTCATTCCCTAAGCCCACTCTACCTCCACTTCCTAGCCTGCCAACCATGCCTACTCTCCCCAAGGTCACATTGCCTCCATTGCCAAGCATGCCTTCAATCCCCACTATCCCTATCCCAACTACAATTCCCTCCATCCCATTCCTCTCTCCACCACCTGGAAACTAGGCCATATATTACTGTTCTTTTTGTGCATCTTTGAGTATTAAGTATCATGTATATGGATCTCTACGGAGTAATAGTACTATGAAGAATTCATCTTGTTAGTTTCTTGTACGTGATTCAACTAGTACTTGAGCATCGTTCTTTTCTATTTTCCCTGTATTTGCTTGTCATTCATGTATCGTAAATTGCCAATTTTCAATAAATATCTGTAGTTTGTTTCCACATTACTTTTTTTTTTTTTTTCTGATTCTGTTCATTAGCTATAAATAATAATAATAATCATGCTATTTGATATTTAATATAATCTATGTTTACTTATATTAATCAATCGATTAAGCACATCAACCAATGATGAACTTTTTTCATTGACATGCATGAAGAAATTACTAATTACATTTTCAACAAAATGAGCTCTGAATTTTTAATAAAGGAATTGAAAACATTATTCAAAATTATTAAACTTGGTTGATTTAGAAGCATATGAAATTGACGTTAAATCTCATTGAACTTAGTTTGTTCACGTCAAGTAATTTTCTTCAATTTTCCATGAAATCTATTTTACTAAGAAGCACTCAAATTTTGAAATCAGAATTAATGTAGGTACTTTATCCTAAAAAATTTTAATTAGTCCTATACAAACTACTAAAAAAAATGATTTTTTTTTTTTTTTTTATTGATATGGGTGATGAAATCACTAATAATACTATTATGCTTGATAGAATATAGCTGGATACATTTTTCTTGATCAGGCTGCCTTGTAATTTTGATTCCTAATCATCATGTAAAGGATAAATTTAGATAGCTACAGTTTGCCAATGGCCATATACCCAGGTTCGATTACTCCTTAAACAAATTATGAAGAAAAAGTTAATTATATTGCTCCCAATATATAATTAAAGTTAAACAAATAAATAAAAAAATATATATCTAATTAATCATCAGAAATCCTTAAGTAATCTCCTGACTTGCTGTAATGTGATGAATAGCACCACAGTGAAAGGTCCTTGCCTTGAAATTGTAGGGATAAACCCTTTATACAAGGCCATAGGACCCTCTGCCTTGATTGTCTTCATTGCACAATCCAGTACACCCTTATAAGGTGGTTCCACCCCAGGCTTCACCTTCATATTCATTACTCTAGTCTTGATCACATCAATTGGATTTGAAGCAACAGAAGCCACAAAACTTGCAGTAACATGGGTGCCAATCCCGCCATTCATCAAACCCTTTTCCAGGATCATCTCCTTGGCCTGATCATATGATGCAAGTTGTGATACGGTCACAATCATTGCGCAGTTGACTGTAAGACCCGACCCCCGCCATAGGCTGGCAACGCCGTCTTGCTTTGACATTTAACTTAAGGCATCCACAACACTCTTGTAGTTTCTATATTGTTCAATCGGGAGACGTCCATCAGCCTACATACGGACCATTGCCACATCTGCAGGCTCCCAACAGTGGCCCTGACAGCACCGGAGATCAGTCTAGCCACTATCTTACGTACAAGTGGCATGTTATTAGTATTTATCACGGTCGGTCCATTTGTGTTTGAGGACATCATAAAGGCCCACACAAGTGATGGAATAAAGGGTTTGGCGGAGGATGGTGGCGGAGATATCGGAGAAAAGGGCAGCAGTGCCTTTGGATTGGATGATAAGTAGACTAATGGAAAGGGGTCCGGCTCTGGATGGAGGAGGGACTTCTAAGGTGGTTGGTAAGGAAATGTTGGCAGTAGAGCTTAAGGATGGGGTTGTGGTAAGACTCTGTGATTTTCATCAGCTTCATCAGCCAATACAAGATGTTTTAGCCGGTTTAGCTCTAGCAAAACGACTGATGCGAGATCTGGCCTATCCTTTTTCCTCAGCTCACAGCACTTCAATGCCAGTTTTGCGAGCAATAAAGCCTCTTCTACAAGCCAATCTGTTTGTGTTGGGTCAAGAATATCTGAGAAGGTTCCTTTCTCTACGGCTTGCTCAACTTGGTGGGATAGACCTATGGGATTCTTTGCTGTAATAAGCTGTTAAAGTATTAGACCTAATGAATACAAATCTGACTTGATGCATAACAGTCCTGCCTGCTAATATTCTGGATCAATATAACAAAACGTGCTAGCTGCGTCTTTCAGGCCATATTGGGTAATACTGTCAGCTAAAGCTGCCGGAACAAGCCTGGCCAAACCCACATCCGAAATCTTACTCACATAATTCCTGTCTAAGAGAATGTTTGCAGGCTTAAGATCGCGATGCACCAAGGGTTTTGGTTTTGTTTCGTGAAGGAAAAGAAGACCGGTGGCGATTTTAGAAGCTATGCTAAAACGTTTTCTCCATGGGATTGGAGGAGAGTTGCCTTTCCTGAATAGGCAGTCTTCTCTTATTATTTTTAGCTTGATTGAAACCTTATACACTCATAAATTTATTAATTGAGACCTTTCGTTATAACTCTGTTAACTATTCATTATACGTGATAAGTTAAAATTAATGGTAACTAATCGGACAACAACACGTGATAAATTTTTTTTTATTCATATTTCTACGTATCAATTCTTGATTGGCATGTGAAATGAATAATAGAGAGTCTCAATCAAAAAAATTAGAACTGTATAAGGATAAACTATGAGGTAAATTCGATATATAAACAAAGATGAGATAATCCTGAAGTTGCAGAATTAAACAATGTGAAGCGGAACACACAGACACAGTAGAGGTTGGATGGCCATAAAGAGATGAAAATGGAAGAACAATGAAAAAGAGTCTGCATGTACAGTTAAGTGTGTGGGGGTGAACAGGTTATCAATAGCTTCAACCTACCTCTTTTAGTTTTTCTTGTAATTGATTAATGTCATAAAATAGTTCAGTAATGGCAAAGGTTTTGAAAGATATTTCGGAACAGTTGGCCAACATAAGATTGATACTACCTTCGCTTAAAAATAAAAAATAACAAACCGCTAATTCTAAGACTTAAGGATCACTTTTGGGATAATTCAAGTTGTCTTTATTGATTAGCCTTAGCCAGTTCATTTTGTTACTTAGCAAATGTCTTAGTGATGGATGCCATTGCCCTCAAAAGTCCCCATAGGCATCGGCTAAATGCATAGTCTAATTTTATTTTTATTTCTTTTTTTTTTTTCCTTAGAAATTTTCGTGGCATAGTTCAATAGTTTGATTTTCCAACATTGTGGTCAGCAAAACTACTTTTAACTTGTTACTCAACATCCAATGAATAGCTAGTTTATTGGCCCAAAAAAAAAAAAATAATAAATAATAAAAGTTTATATTCCATCTTCATAAAGGAGAATAGAAAAGTTTTTAGTGCAAATGCGGCACTAGCCAATAGCCAGAAAAAAAAATAAATAAATAAAAAACAGATATAACTGGTCAACAACAAGAACAACTGGTCCTTCTATTGTTTAGGAAGTTGAACTAACACTAGCAATAATAATTAAAGCTCAAAGTGTCTGTCTTGTTTTCCTGCCTTCACCAGCCACATATGATAGATTACGTCTCTCCTGAATCTCCAATGTTCATGACCTATAAAAACCCAAGACTAGCTCTGGTTTGTCACAGACAATCTCATAAAATTCTTAATTAGCTTGTATAGCTCATAGGCTTCTCTTATAAGCACTGACAGAAGTTTATAAACAATATGGCAGGATTCAACTGCTTTTTTATCTCAGCTCTCTTCATCGCTTTGTCGGTTTCAGGAGGCGAAGCAGCTCGTCATCTCTTGCAATTTCCACCTCTACCTTCTATACCAAATCTGCCTAAACCAACATCGCCACCATTGCCTTCTTTACCAACACTGCCACAGCCGACCTTGCCAACCACTCAACCTTCATTCCCTAATCCCACTCTACCTCCACTTCCTAGCCTGCCAACCATGCCTACTCTCCCCAAGGTCACATTGCCTCCATTGCCAAGCATGCCTTCAATCCCTACTATCCCCACTACAATTCCATCTATCCCCTTCCTCTCCCCACCTCCTGGAAACTAGACAGTCTCATTGTAGAGGGGTTTGTTGACGGTCCTGTTATAAGTTCATGTCCTTTGGGTGCACTGATCTCTGTGGAGTCGTTTGAGCAGTTCATTCGTTCATTTCTCATTTAGTTCATCTTCTTGAGCATTATTGTTAGTTCCCATTTTTATTGTATTTGTTTGTCATTGTATCATATATACAGTTATGATTTCCAGTTTTCAATAAATGAATGCGCTTTGATCGACAATAATTTGATTACTATGCTCTACATTTCCTTTTAATTTCTGTTTTCAAAGAACCATAGATTTGAACAATGATGAATTGTCATATTTATTAGGTAGCAAAGAACTTCTTGATGTGTTTGGTTGTCTGAATTAATAAAGTTAATTAATTTCTAGGGCCGTTGAGTGTGGCACCGAAATGATAGACAAAATAGATTTGCTGGTAATGCCTCAGTGACTTTTAACATCACCTCAGACCAGAAAAATAAATAAATAAAAGTTGATACCACGAGGGAAAAATAATAAAATAAATCCAACAAGAGATTAAACAATATAGGATTAGTAATAATTTCTGATATGAAGAATAATTTTACTCAGATATCCGGCATTGAATAAATTAATCAATAAATATAAATGCTTGTTCTTCTTCTCACTGCCCTTAATCTTAATTAATCTATAGCTGTCCTAATCATTATATTCAGAAATCCTTAAGTAATCTCCTGACTTGCTCTAATGTGACGAATAGCACCACAGTGAAAGGTCCTTGCCTTGAAATTGTAGGGATAAACCCTTTATACAAGGCCATAGGACCCTCTGCCTTGATCGTCTTCATTGCACAATCCAGTGCACCCTTATAAGGTGGTTCCACCCCAGGATTCACCTTCATATTCATTACTCTAGTCTTGATCACATCAATTGGATTTGAAGCAACAGAAGCCACAAAACCAGCCACAAAACTTGCAGTAACATGGGTGCCAATCCCATCATTCATCAAACCCTTATCCAGGATCATCTCCTTCGCCTGATCATATGATGCGAGCTGTGATGCAGTCACAATCATTGCGCGGTTGACTGTAAGACCTGACCCACGCCATAAGCTGGCAACACCCTCTTGCTTTGACATTTGACTTAAGGCATCCACGACACTCTTGTAGTTTCTACGTTGTTCAATTGGAAGACGTCCATCAGCCTGCATACGGACCATTGCCACATCAGCAGGGTTCCCAACAGCTGCGCCGACAGCACCGGAGATCAGTCCAGCCACTATCTTACGTACAAGTGGCATGTTATTAGTATCCGGGTCGGTCCATTTGTGTTTGAGGACATCATAAAGGCCCATACGAGTGGTGGAGTAAAGGGTTTGGCGGAGGATGGTGGCGGAGACACCTGAGAAAAGGGCAGCAGCGCCTTCGGATTGGATGATACGGACACCGATGGAAAGGGGTCCAACACGGGGTGGAGGAGGGACTTCCAAGGTGGTTGGTAAGGAAATGTTGGCAGTAGAGGTTAAGGCAAAGGCAGGGCGATGGAATTGTATAGCAGATGGATTTGGGATGTGAGATTCACCTTGAAGTTGCATACGGACCTTGATTAAATCTAAAGGGTGTGTGGAAGCACCGGCTATGATGGAGGCAATACCACCTTCAGCAAAACCTTTCAAACCCATGTTAATTTCTAATGGAACTTTCAAAGGCTGATGATCAAACAAGCAAAGAGTTCAATTAGTGGGGATCGATAGAGAATTGCAGAAAGTGAATCTGAAAGGTTGATGAGTGTTAAGAGCATCATCCTTGTCTATATAGACAGAGAGGTTGATCAGGGAAAGAACATGGAGAGCAGCTTGACGCGGCTATTCAACCACGCAGGTTGACTGTGTTTATCTTGTCTGGTTGTTTGCTTGTTCAAAGGTGATATTTTGTGACCATTATTGGCAGTCTCTGTTTGGCTTCCATCCTTTGATGAAGCAGCCAAATACCATTCAACTTTACAAGTAGGTGCCACGTGTGGAATTTTAAGGGCCATGTTTTGTGGGTTTCACACGGAAGACTAGATGCCCATCCAACTTGATCAATAAGCGTAACCCCTTGATCTTTGTCTTGGATGATTCTATTGCCTGAGATTTTGCTTTCCCACAGTATCAACTTCAAGTTTTCACTTTTCATCGCTGAGTTATTTTGTTTTTCCTCTCTTTGCTACCATATCGCATTTCTGCTACGGCACTTTTTGGTTGAAGTTGTCCACTGTCTTTATTGAAAACTCAAAACAGCCTAACTTTCTGCAATTTTTCAAGGAATTCAGACCCAAAATCATGGGAAGTCTCTTCTTTTCTTCTCTCTGCTTCTGAGCGTCTGCCTGTGGTCGGAAAGTCAACACTGATGTGAAGGTTATTGCTAGAAATCAAACGTTTTGACCCTAACTAAATTCCCTTCCAATTAAGAAACTTACCAGAGATGAAAACTCGCCAGAAAACCGATGTTCCCTTTTTCTTCTGTTACTTGATTTGATTGATTTTGCATCAATTGGCTTAAATTATATAGTTTTTAACCCTCTATTTCTAGGAATTCAGCCCTTTTTTTGTTTTTGCAACAAATTAGATAAGATATATATATATATATATATATATATATATATATATATTTGATTCAAAAGAGGATGAATTTATTTGATCTTGATTCTTGTGTAGCAAAAACAAGACTATACTTGATCTGCATGAATCCGCTGAAGTTATCTATAAATGGCTTCTTTTTTGTAAAGATGGACATTATTATATGTAAATTCAATTGCATCCTATTCTAAACTAAATTTCTTCTATAGAACTGTTGCACTTGTTGAAGAGATAAAATATAACTAAAATATATCTTTTCTTTTCTTTTTTTTATCAGAGGTTGAATTAATCATTAGAAGAAGAATTAGGCAAAAAAAATAAAATAAAAAATTACGTTCTAGAAAAATAATTTTTTTTTTTTTATAAAAAAAATTTCTATTTGACATAGCTTCTTCCTATACCTATGAACTCTGTTGGATCAAAAAATGATACATTAGAATAATCCCATTGACAACAGATAGAAACTATTTAAGTTTATTGGTTTGGAAAAAAACCATGTTACTCCTCGTTCAATTCTTTTGGTACAATTGGTTCTTTTTCTCGAATTTTATAATGCTTTTTTTTTTTTTTTTTTTCTTCCCATCGGAATTATTTCAACACCCCAAAAAATGGACAATTTTTTTTTCAAATAACAGCATTCAGATACACATGTTATTATTACACTCCGTTGTAAAAAAAACATAATAAGGTTTCACACCACTAACAAAATTATTCCTAACATGAGAATACTAAATAGCTCCATCTTAAACATATTACATGTCCATCCAGGGTTGGGTGATAATATTCATATGTCCATGACTAGTTATTTAGAATAGCCTGCTCCCACCATTTGGTCACTCTGCCTTCAGGACTTCGATCTCAAAATCCAGGACCGAGTTTGGTTGTATTCCCCATGCTGGAAATCCACCAGCTCCATAAGCATAGTCGGGAGAGCACTGAAACATCATTAAAAAAGAACTAGCTATTAGATACATACAATGAGCAAGAACTTCATAGAATTCTCCAATCCAATTTGTGATCCATGAAGAACTAATCTTTTATAACTACATCATAATTATTTGTAAAGCAGCTCAAGGGTTTATGAGTAGACAGAAAATATTGGAATTTGATCAATGAGAATTATTCATAATCTGGACAAAATACGGAAGTGGACATAAAACAACAAAAATCACAAAAAGCAAAACGTAATTGTATCTTCCATCAAAATCCTTGGAATACTCACCTAGAGCAAGAAACATGCATGCCAAAAGTAAAGACGAAGTAGGAAGAAAAGAGAAGGGCATTAAGACAGGAGGAAAAAAAGAAAAGAGCATAGTTACCCAAAATACCATAGGAAGTGATATGGCAAGGGGGTAACTTGGTTTGCCAGATTTTTCAGATACTAATGGGATTGCAATGCATATGAAAGTTCACAATTCAAACAATCTCAATCACATTTTTCCTAGGCAAACCGAGTAAGATTTTGCTATACACCCAAAAACATTGTGGTCCAAGCCCATTGCCAAAAATATTTCAGTTCCACACACGCACAAATAGTGATTCTTATATGGTTTGATGCATCAGAGACATAATTGTGTTAGATTGTTAGAAGCATAAAAGGATGAAGAAATACCCGCAGACGCGCAACTTCTCCCAATTGCATTCCCATGACACCTTCATCCCATCCTGCAAATTAATTGCATGGGATTAATAAGCTCTTCATCCAAGTTAACCTCTCAAGGATTCACATGGAGCAGAGACAAAAAGAAAAGTGGCCATCTATAATAAACAATGCCATAAACTTGAGATTTAACAGGTTTTTCTTTTTTGGTAATGGATGTAAAAGGATTATAACCACTTAAAAGTAAAAGTTTTATTTGAGTTGGATCCATCAAGTGATCAACATTTGATCTATGGTCTCACACACACATATGGAAAAAGAAAGTAAAAGTTCTCCAACAGCCAGAATTTTCTTGTTTAGAAAATAAACTTGGTGCAGTTAACATATTTAAATTTTAATATTTACATCCATAAAAGAATCTGGAAAATTTTGTAATTCTTCTTATTTATATAAAGGAGTAAAAAAACATAAAAGCAAAGGCAGAATGACGACCAATACCGAATAACCAGCATGGACGTCAATGAATAGTTAAATGGGATTATTTACTTCCAGGACAGAATCAAGTATGTTCATGTTCAGTTTACAATTAAATCAAGGAAAAAGAGACAAAGAAATCTAGTGGCAACAACTATTCAGTCAATAGCTTCTAAACTAGGCACGTAATGATCAATCAATCATTAACTATTAGTTAATTTCATTGATTGAAGGATATACAATACCAGACTCTTACACACTCCAACAAGGTAAGAAGCAAAGATAATCTAATGATTACCATTCGAAGCACACCCAACAACAGCAGGTCTTACCTTTAATAACTGATCCCTGGCCAATTTTGAATGAGAAAGGCTCCTGCCCGGGATCCTTTGTGCTAGAACAAACAATGAAAAAACACAATGACTCAATTTATGAAACAGAATCCATAACCACGGAAAAATAAAATCATATAAAAATTTTTATTAAAACAACTCAGGACAAACCCTCCTCACCTCCAAAACTTCTGAGAGAGATCACGATTTTTCCCTGTTAAAAAAAAAAGAAAAAAAAAGAAGCCAACGTCAGTTCCTTGTTATTTCAATTTTCAGTAATCCAGCACCTTTAGATATATCACTCTCCAAGCTTTATCTCTCCAACACACAACAAAGATCAATCCCTTTCACCTCTTTGAACCCAAATCCCAAAACCCAGCCAAAAAAAAAAAAAAAAAGAACCATTATATTATAGCAACCCCACAAAACCCACCGCAAAAAACCCTACATTGCAACATCTAATCTAATTCTGTCACCAATTAAGGAATACACCTAATAACATCTCATAAACCCATATCAAAAAAACCAAACTTTCAAAGTATTATAGGACTTAAGATCTCAAATCTCTAAATTTTCCATACATCTCTTAGTAACCAAACAGAAAGCAACAAAATTCCGAAATTGCAAATCAAATTAAGTAAAAATAAGAATAGGGTTTTGTCAAACAAGGGAGCTAGCTAACCAAAACCAGTGCAGTGAACGGTGACGATTTGACCAGCAGTTGGTTTGGGACCGGTTCCTGGTCTGATAACTTGTTTCTCCACTCCCATGTTTTTGCTTTGCTTGTAGACGTGTTTGCTGCTTCGATTTTTTTCGCTCTCCAGTTTTATCATGCCACCAAATGGTATTTAACATGTGCCATGCACGTGATGAAAGAATCATTTTTTTTTTAATCTAATTTATTTAAACAGATTTGCTTATTTACAATTTTTTTCATTTCATAGGTAAGAAAATCCTTAGATGAGTGTACAAATATTTACTATTATAATTATATTATTAAAAAATAAAAAAACTAGAAGAAGTGCAAGTGATATTATTCATTCACTATACCTCTAAACTCATTGTTTCTATTCATGTTTTTTTTTTTTTGGTTGCTTTTTAGTCTCTCTTTCTTTGAGAGATAAATTAATTAGTTCTTTTGGTTTAAAAATTAATTTTTTTATCCTTTTTACTATTTTACCATTTTTATTTTTTTGTTTTAAGAAATTATAATATATTATCATTATATTTTATAAAAAATAACGGTGCTTTGTTGTTGTTGTTTTTTTTTTTTTAACATCTAGCCTCTCTTTTTCAGTTTCGTATTTATTAGACTATTATTATATAGTCAAATATATTATTTAGGTCCTTATTTATTACAAATATATTTTTTAAAATAATAAAATTATTTATAGTTAATAATTATAATACATTATCATTATGTTTTACAAAAACTATCAAATTATTATTATAAAATAGAAATATATTTTGTTTAAATAAAAAAATTATTTATAGTTAATAATTATAGTACATTATCATTATATTTTACAAAAAATATCAAATAATTATTATAAAATAGTTATTTGCATTTTTATTGTGAATATTGTATTTAGGTCGTGCTTTTTTGTTTTTTCTTTTCTTAAGGTTTGGCCTCCTTTTTTTTTCTTTTCTTTTTTTCAGTTTCGTATTTGTAGGAATATTATTATATGGTCAAATATATTATTTAGGTTCTTATTTATTAGAAATATATTTTTAAAAAATAATAAAATTATTTATAGTTAATAATTATAATATATTATGATTATATTTTACAAAAAAAAATATCAAATTATTATTATAAAATAGTTATTTGTATTTTGATTGTGAATATTGTATTTATTAGACAATATAATATTTTCTTATTATTTTAAATTATGATATAAATAATATATTAATATATTAATTTACGAGTTTGAATATATATAAAAATTGATAAGTATTTTAGTAATATAATATATTTGATAATATACCATATAATTAAATTAATATTACATTGTATTAGTTAAATATTATTTTAAATATATTGACATAATAATATAATATTTATTAATGAATGATTTATTTAAATATCGGATGACAATTATTCCCCTTCTATATAAATAATTTTTTTTATCATGAAATTAGGTATGAAAAAGAAATTACTTAACGTATAGTTTGACAAGTAATAAAATATATATGATATTTTTTAAAAATTTTAATTTGAACATATATATTTGATTATATTATTTTTATTATTTAAAATTTATTTCTTCAATTGTTTGTTTCTTATTAAAATTATCATCGAATTAATTTTTAAATTTTATATGATTTTATTTGTTAATAAATTTTTTTTTATATATGGCTTTTGAAATAAAATTTTAGAACTCGATTGTTTTATTTTTAAAAAAATATATTATTATAATTTATATGATTGATTGTATTTATGTTTTTCAATGAAAATGACATTGTTGCATATATAAATTCCGATGAGAAAGAGAGAGCTTGAAGTGTGTTTCAGCTATTAAAATTATTCTAAAAAAACTTAAAGAACTAGGGTTTTTCCTATTCATTTACTCGTAACATTTTATTTATTTATTAGTGTCGACCTAGAGAAGCGGGCTCTAGCCGTTGGCTCGACTCATTATATTGTAGTTTTTTTTTTTTTAATGTTGGCCTGGAGAAATATTTTATTTATTATTTTTTTATTTTTTTATTTTTTAGGGCTAGCTTTTAGAAGCGTGCTCAAGCGACCTTGCACAAGCAATCTCAATTAGCGTTTGCTTTCTTTTTTTTTCTTCTAATAATTTATTTTTATATTTTGTACCATGAAATTAGGTGTGAAAATATAAAAAAGATTTTTTTTACGGTAATAGAATATATATAATATTTTTAAAATTTTTAATTTAAACATATATATCTTATTATATTGTTTTTATTGTTTAAAATTTATTTCTTCAATTATTTGTTTCTTATTAAAATTCTCATTGAATCAATTTTTTAATTTTATATAATTTTATTTTTTTAATAAATTTGATTTTTTATATATGAATTTTGAAATAAAATTTAAGAACTTGATTTTTTTATTTTTTAAAATATATTATTATAATTTATATAATTGATTTAACAAATACTATACATGTAACGCCCCCGTCCCAGTCATATTTCTACTACCCAAGTAGAGTACTAGACGAAGCGCGTTACGCCGACATACCATAAACTCTAAGTAGTTCTCTTATGATATTTTTAAAACTTTAACAAGACATTACGTATATAACTCCTTAAGATAAAATTTACATCATATAATTAAATATATTAATAAAACATTACGGACAATATTCAATTTCTCACGAACTCCATACCTCAAATTTACGGATAAAATAAAAACTAATATACGGTGCCTCACATGAGCCGATTACGAGGAGCCAGCCGCATCCGTACCAACTTGTCATTTTTCCGTCACAACATAAAAATAACAACGGGGTGAGTCAAAGCTCGGTAAGTAGGGTGATGCACGTGATATGCAATGTTGTTTTGACTTCCCACCATACTCATAAATTTTAATCTCGGGTACCACGGGTATTAGCCGGTTACTCTATTTATCATTCGGGTGGTCCGCAGATCACCTTCTGCTACAATGGAATTACCCATCGTTGTAACTACCGTTAGCGGGAATCCATCGTCTAACGAGTGCAAGCACACAGCTTGGTTTCATCCGAGATGATCCTCGGATCATCTTCTCGCTACAACGGAATTATCCCTCGTTGTAAGCTGCTATTAGTGGGAATCCATTGTCTAATAGTGCGAGGCACACAACCTAGAGTACTTGGACTACTAATACCCATTTATTCTAGTTAGGTTATCAAACCTAGATGTACAAACCATTTCTCAATCAATTGACTTGTCTTAAACCACCCACTATGCACATGATGCACGTGATGACATATTTAATCACATTCAACCAAATTCGGGTACCAACCCTTTATTATCATGCCATACTCATGGTCAAACCCACACTCAGAATTTACCCATTGCTCACATACCAATCATGATACTCATAGCGGGAACACAACCTCCGCTCATTAATATTGTTAATTAGTTTCGTTAATATTTAAAAGAAGGTCCAAGTCCATTTACTTTAATCCGAGCTCATTAAATTTATCCTAGGTCCAATGACTCTATTTAATTCCATTTTATTTAGTCCAAGCTCATTTAGTTTATTCCAAACCTATTAATTTTATCAAAGTCTAATTTTTTTGGTTTTAGGGTTTATTACGGGGCAACTCCTAATCGAGTAAATAATTTTCTAATTTTAGAACATAATTAAATCTTACTCATTTTATTTTAGATACTAGACATATTTATTTATAACATATCCAAAACTTAGGTCTAAATACCAAGTACACAATTAATTACAAATTTTTGAAACTTATGGAGCAATCTGCCTAATAGTAGTTTATCTAGAGCTATCTATACTAAATCGGGTATAACTCTTTGTACACGAATTCAATGACTAAGAAATTTTAAAGGGAGTTAGTTGAAACATAGATGAAAAAATTTTATTCTTTAAGTTTCACCCAAAAATGGACCTAAAAGCTTTGAACATGTACCCTAAAATTCGGACAGAATTTACTCCTTATCAACACTAATTTATTAGTTCATTCCAACCCAACTTTAAACACGTTTTAGTTCACTTAAATTTATTCCAAGTTCAATCCAACCCATCACCACATACTTGGATATTTTTCAAAAAATCAAAAAATCATAAATCATCACAACAAGGCATCCATACATAGATTTATTCCAAGCATCAAGCATATAACCATTGAAAATTATTACAACCCATGAAATAAACACTAACAAAATAACTTAAAAAAAAATAATTTAAGACATTAATCAGCCAAAAAAAATGAAACCTGCTTACCTCTTTTAGGTTTGATTAGAATTTCTTTAGCTCTTTTTCTTTCCTTTTTCCCTTTTCTTTCTCTTTTCTTTCTTTCCCTCTTTTTGCTGTTTTTCTCTCTTCAATTTGGCTTCTCTTTTTAATTCTAGATGGCTACGGTTTTTGGCCTAAAAATGGCAGCCATTTAACCCTCTCTTTCCTTTATATACCCACCTTTTATCTTCTCATTTATTTATATCATAATTGTTACAATTTAACTAGGCCAAATGTAAAGTGGAGGAAGCTTGGAAGGCAAAGCTGGCATGTTTTAGAAGTCAAAGGTGATGATTTGGCTTCTAAGCATTTAATTCAAGTGCTTAGGTGGCTAAAGAAAACTTAGGATAAATAAAAACATTAATAAGCTGAGTTAATGTAATTAGAAAAAATTTATTTCATAAAAAATTCGAAAATTTTCATTTTTAAAAATTCAGAATTTCTTTTCCCCCAAAATTCCAACGAGTGTTTCCTCCTAACCCATCTATACTAAAATGTGCATAACTCTTTCTATATGTATCAAAAAATTATGAAATTTTATAGAGAGCTAGTAAACACATAGAAAAACAACTTTTATTCTTTAAGTTTTTCTCAATAATCAATCTAACAGCATTAAATAAATCTCACACGATTCGGGCAGATTCTTCTCCCAAAATTCCAGCAGAATGCATTTCGAAACAACTCTCACTATAATTGGTATAACTCTTAATGTATAGGTCTAAATATTATAAAATGTTATACAGATCTATTCAACACATAGATGAACAACTTTCATTTTTTAAGGTTGACCCAAAAATTACTCTAAAGTCCTCAAATAATTCACACAAAACTCGGGCACAA